TTTTTTTTTTTTTTTTTTTTTTTTTTTTTTTTCGGTCTGTTGCATTTTGCACCTGCTGCTTCTGTGGAAGGCAATTGTCGCAGGGGAGGATTTGAACCCTCCACCTACAGCAACCACTGCATGGAGCAGCGCTTGCTGTCTCCCCTGTCTGCAGCCCCTTCCCCACAGTATTAGAACTGCCAGAGCAACGGAGCAGCGGTCGCTGGGCCTTTTTTTTTTTTTTTTTTCGAGGCCATCTCAAACTCCTGGGGTATGGGAGGGGTTTGAACTCGTCACCCTCAGGCCCATTTGCACCCTCAATTGCGGTATGGAGGGGTTCGAACCAGTCACCCTCAGGCCCATTTGCACCCTCAATTGCGGTATGGAGACACGCGGTTAATGGAAGGCCCAAAATTCGGGGGTTTTCACCGCATCACTACAAGCAATGTCGTGGAAAATTTTGCGAACAAACTATGCAGGCTCATAATACAAACATCAAAAAACGAAACAGGCAAATAAAAACTCAAAAAAAAAACTCAAAAGGACTATAAAACCCTATTCGGAGTAGCTTTTGGAGTTCGCCAAATTTTTTCCCGAATTCGGTGTTTTTGCCAACTTCTTTGTTACTCGTCCAAATACGCTGAAACTGAATACAGATATACCCTCAAGCACATACATATCAGACAAGAAAAAAAAAAAACAAGAAAAAAAAAAAACTCAGGGAAATATGGCAGTTTCGGTGAAAAACTTGCCGAAAATAGCACCACCCATTAACCACGAGTGTTTGAACCGATCACCTTCGGGCCCATTTGCACCCTCAATTGCGGTATGGAGGGGTTTGAACCGATCACCTTCGGGCCCATTTGCACCCTCAATTGCGGTATGGAGGGGTTTGAACCCGTCAGCTTCAAGCCCATTTCCACCCTCATTTGGAACAGAACACCACACACATTATGGTGACTGCCACATGAATAAGGCATCGCCACACTGCTGTAGTCCTAAAAAGTGAAAAAGACAACCTATTGCGGGTGTACATTTCCATGTTTTTGCAGAAGATAAGAGATCCGTTTTGCATGCTGCATGCACCGGGCATCACCACAGCACTCACGAAATGTGGAAAAGAGTCGAAAGACAAAACTTAGCATGGGTGTATCTTTTCCATGTCCTTGGGGAAGATAACATGCTCCATTCTGCATGCCGCATGCATACAGCATCGCTACACCACTCACGAAATGTGAAAAAGACAATTTATGTTGTGTGCATCTTTCCTCATTTTCGTGGATGATACATGCGCTCCATTTTGCGCATGATTCCAGGAGTGGTGTGGCAAGGCCCATAGTCAGTCCATCATACTCTGAAATCTGACACCCCTCCTGGGGCTAGGTCCCACTTGCACGAATTAAGAGATACTGACCGTAGATAGCAAAGATCAACGGCCCAAATCTCCTAATTTGCGAAAGTGGGACCTTGCCCCTGAACAAACAGAACAGGTGGAAAGAGCCAAAAACTTTCCTCCTTTTTCTCCTTCATTACAAAATAGTAAATCATTACAAAATAATAAAATAATAAAATGTTTTCCTTTTTGCCCCTCTTTGACAGTGTCCCCCACCTGCCCTACACCTGTCCCACACCTGTTTGACTAACCAAAACACATTGTTAGTGGGACATCCCTCCAGAAGGGGAGGCAAGAATGTGCTCTTTTCTCGCCGGAATCTCTTTGGCATGCAGAAGGATTTTTGCTTATTTACTTCAAAAAATTCAAATCACTTCAATATTGCTCCTGGAAAGATCAGCACTCAATTTGTGTCCCTGATTGTTTCCCTTTTTTTTTTTTGGCCCAAACTCCGGCGCACAAAAAATCGCCAAAGTCAGCGTGCTCAACGTTTCGCAACACTCCACGCACAGCACACAGTCAAGCCTACGGGCCCATCGCAGCCCGGCCGCTGACTCAATGTTGCATTTTTTTTTAGGCGTTGGGGGCAGTGCTGGTTTGCACCGCCAGTCCTCCCCCTTGCGGCTCTGAAATCACCAACCAGCGAGCCTGTGGACTGGTAGTTCACAAAAATTTGCGCACACCAACTTTATTTTAAAGATGAGTGCGTGTGCGCACATGAGAGAGAGAGAGAGAGAGAGAGAGAGAGAGAGAGAGAGAGAGAGAGAGAGAGAGAGAGAGAGAGAGAGAGAGAGAGAGAGAGAGANAGAGAGAGAGAGAGAGAGAGAGAGAGAGAGAGAGAGAGAGAGAGAGAGAGAGAGAGAGAGAGAATGACTGCAGTAAGCCCGCCAAATGCATGAACAAGAAGACATACCTGGTCCACTGGTTTGAAGTTTGAATATGCTTTTGTATTTGAAATTTGAAATTTGAAATTTGAATATGCCTTGGACAAGATCACACTGACTTGCTTTTGTATTTGAAATTTCAATATGCCTGGGTCAAGGTCACAGTGACTTGGTGTTTTTTTTTTTTTTGGCTGTGGAGTACAAAGGGATCCATGCCCACCAGCTCCCTTTCCCCCCAGAACAAAAAGAGGATTCAATGACCAGAAAAAGAAGAATACGGGCAAGCGGAAGCTTATACTTGGACAGTCACAAGGGTGTTTGTTTGGGTCCCCAGCAAATTCTGCAACCCTCCCATGTTATTAGGTGGGGGAGAGGGGAGGGGTAGTTCTGATCTTCGAAGTGCAAAGGATCTGCTGACCTTTTTTAAAGATCTTTTTTCAAGTTCTTTTTTTTTAATCTTTTTTTATTTTCCTTTCCTAATTGCCCTCAGCACAGCTCCAATGGGCACTGGCCCTCTTTGGGACCAAATCCACCAGCACTACTACTATGTCCTCGGTTAACATATATGAATCCGACTGCAGCCGCCGACCAGATGAACATGTCAGATTGTTAGTCATTACCCGTGCCGCCATGCACCCATATAAACCCCACCCTGGTTCACAAATAAACCACCCCTACTTTCCCCAGCCATTTTCCGACAACGCAGCAGTGCTCACGCCATTTTTTGGGGGGGACACACAGGGCCTGCCGTTTCGCACGAAAAACAACCAGGCAAAGCAGGACTCGCACCCAACGACTATTGCCTGAATGAATTCGGCACAAAACGGCAGGCCGGTACATCCCACCAGATACAGCACGAACACTGCCGCGTCGCAAAAAAATGGCTTGGAAGTTGGACAGTTATTGGTGGTTGAATACGGGCCTCGCTCCACGACCTTACAAAAAAAAAAAAAAAAAAAAAAATTACGGCCATGTATAACTCCATGTTCTAGCGGAAGATCCATTTCTCATATTGCACATTCGGTGAGAGTAGTGCCCAAAAAAAAACAGATGTCATTGATTTGAATTTTGAACACTTGGATCAATTGCACAAAAGACAAATACGGGTGAGAGTAGTGCGCAGAAAAACAGATGATTCGTTCTTTTTTTTTAAGATAATTCGTTCTCGCTCCGAGGCCCTATGAAAGTTCAGCTCCATAAAAACACAATACTTGGATCAACTGAAAAAAAAAAACAAAAAAAAAGATCCCTACTCTTTCTCACATGTATATGGACATGGAGTATGGTCTGATTAGTCCATAAACTACAGGAGTGCAAGGTGCTGGGAGGCTGGCGTACTTGGAGCTTCTCAAATGAATCAAGCCAAACTTCTAGCCAGATACATATGACAAAGTCCTCGTGTGGGTGCGACTATGCTCCCCTTCACTGGAGAACCAGTGTCTCCGAGGCTTTACTATGTTTGCGTGCATCTATGCAAAGCCAGTATGAACCTGGCCGAAATTCCAGACTCACTTCATGCTAACTCGGCGCAAAAATCAACAGACAGATTCTGCAAAGACCCCCAAAATGTAGGAACTATTGCACCCCCCTTGTGAGGCCTGGCTTTTGTTCGTTTCCCTTTTCTTGTTTATTGGGGTCGGACCTTCATATCTTTGGAACAAAGTCGCATTTGGTTTGTTTTTTTTTTTAACTTTTTTCATTCTGGAGTGTCATTTTATCTACCTGATTTGGTTTTCCCATTTCTTCTTCTCCTTCTCCTTCTCCTTCTCCTTCTTGTTGTTGTTCTTCTTCTTCTCCTTCTTGTTCTCCTTCTTCCTCTTCTTCTTCATCATCTTTGTCTTCTTTGTCGTCAGTTTCCATGGCTTTTGACTTGGTTTCTTGATCATTGTCCGAATGATTTATTTGAATTATTTCACTCATTTGGTTGGATATCTCACTGCGGCCGCTGAGTCTGGTAATCATCAAGACTAAAAAAAAAACTAAAAAAAAAAAAAACTAAAAAAAAAAAAACTAAAAAAAAATAATAAATTTCAGGTGACAACTAACCCTTTGCCATGTGATAGCAATTACTTTACACTGTAAATGTGTGCACGTTTTTCTTTTTCTTTTTCTTTTTCTTTTTCTTTTTCTTTTTCGCCAAGGAGCAAGCCAACCACAGACTCTGTTAAACACACACCGCTACCTCCTGAAAAAAAAAGGCCAACCCCCGCCAACAGAAAGCAAAAACCTGACGCCATCTGATTGTATGCCTGGCAGATCTCCAATCCGGCGGGCCTCACTCAAAAAGCGTGAGCTTTCTGGTACAAGGAGCGGGGTTGCAAAAGGTAGTGGTGGCACTGGTGGGTTTAATTGATGGGGAAAGTATTAAGAAAAAAAAAAAAAACACTCGATACTGCAAAAAGTCAAAACTTTGACCATCCGGTAATGCCCTCAACATTGCTTCCGCCTTTGCCGTGATTGGACGTCCGGGATGCAAAAATCGCTAGTCCCCGGAATTGATGAACCCTTCTCTCCTGCCCTCGAACCCTGGCCTAAGCAGCTTCTTCTCTCTTCTCTCAATCTTTTTCGCTTTCTTCGTGTCTGCCCGCGCTTTAATATTGTCTTGCCTCTTCCTCTGCTTCGCTTCCATTCGTTCTCTCTCCTGCGCCTTCCTTTCCGACCATTGCTTTGAGCTCCGTACTTTCAGCTTCTCTTCGCGCTTCAGCGATTTCTTCAACAGCTTCGGATCGTCAAGCACCTTCGCACCCGTCGCCCTATCTAGCGCCGCGGCCCACTCATGCTTCGCCCGAAGACCCTCGGCTTCCGTCGGACCCGCAGCCTTCTCGACTTTCTCTTTCAGTGCAACGGCCTTATTCAACAAGTCTTTCTTCGTTTCCTTCTTCTTCTTCGGTTTTCCGCCGTCAACAACGCCATCGGCTATTTTTATCCGTCCAAACTCCAGCTGTTCGGGTATTTTCACCTGATCTGAACCTGTCTCTTATACACATCTAGATGTGTATAAGAGACAGATCTAGCGCCGCGGCCCACTCATGCTTCGCCCGAAGACCCTCGGCTTCCGTCGGACCCGCAGCCTTCTCGACTTTCTCTTTCAGTGCAACGGCCTTATTCAACAAGTCTTTCTTCGTTTCCTTCTTCTTCTTCGGTTTTCCGCCGTCAACAACGCCATCGGCTATTTTTATCCGTCCAAACTCCAGCTGTTCGGGTATTTTCACCTGATCTGAACTCTGGCCCCCATCAGACTTTTGTCTTTTCGACGGATGAGGCGATCCCCCGCCGCCTCTGTCGCCGCCCTTTTTCGCGCCAAGTTGCTGGCTTTCTCTCTTCCGCTTACTTTGCCACTCCTTCGCCTTTCTGGCCGTGATTGCCGATTCGTCCGCACGTCGTTTTGCCCGGAATTCGGCGAGCCGTCGATGCAATCGCTCACGCAATTCTTCATGCGATACTGGCGGTTTGTTCAGATCTGCTGCGCATAAACTGTTCACACTGGTGTCGACTGTCTTTTCCTCGTTGCCCTTTTCAGCAGGAGCACCTGCCAATTGACCGTCGACCTCGGCCTTCGTTAACTCTCCACTTTCACCGGCCGATGGCTGGCTCGCCGCTCGTTCTTTCTCCGCAAGCTGCGCCTGGACATCAAGCGTCGACTGATAATGTTCTGGGTCGAAACGCATTTTCTTCGCTTTCTTGGAATTCTCCTTTGCCGCGAGCCTCAGCGCATCCCTTTCGTTTTTCTTCTTGTATTTCCATCCCTCCTGGTCTGTCGCCTCTGGAGCGAAGTAGAAGCGCGCTGGTATCAGCTGCACGAGGCGGTTGAAGAAGTCCGAATCCTCCTTTATTTTCCCCTGCAACGGATGGATCTCCCCGAGCATTGGCATGTTTCCCGCCTGGATTAGAGGTTTGCCACCAGTCAGGAGGACAAATTCACTTGCTCAGACCGCAGCCACCGTTGCGGTAATCCGCCTAACACTCTCTGACAATGCTGGTGACAAAGTGAGACAAGAGCGTAAGCATCCTTAGCAACAACAATACAGCCTTCTGCTCTCTCTCTCTCTCTCTCTCTCTCTCTCTCTCTCTCTCTCTCTCTCTCTCTCTCTCTCTCTCTCTCTCTCTCTCTCTCT